CCACCTGGCACCCCCCCCCCAAAAAAAAAAAAAACAACCCAGGAGACTAACACTAAATGCAAACAGAGGGATGAATCTAACATTCTGTGTCCACCAGCACAAGCACATCCATTGTGGATGCTTTAGCAGAGATTCCTGCATTGCAGGGGTTGGACTAGATGACCCTTGGGGTCCCTTCCAATTCTACAGTTCTATGATTCTTGCAGTAGCAGATGGGAGAGTGTTAATTTTGTATGATAGAGCACTTTGCAGTAATCCAGTCTCATGGTTTACTTGTACATGAACTGTAGAAACCCATCACCACTTGAAATATACAGAAGAAGCAGAAAGGCTGTTCGGAAGCTGTAGTAACTCTGTGCAACTGGAAGATGGAAAATCTAAAGTGGCCATTTAAATATTCTCCAAGTCCTCAGATGAAATGAAATAAAATGATGTTTTGATTTTTCTGATTTTCTTTTTGCTACGGTAAAGATATTGGAATGGATTAGATTCACTTTATGAAGTAATAAATACATTGTAAATGGATGTCATGATGGCCACTTAAGGAATATATTGATCATAACAGCAGCCATGTAATAGGGCATAGTAGATTGGTTTTATTGGAATTCAGATATTTGTTTAATTACGGAATGTTAAGCAATTAAAAGATGTTAATAAAATTGAGTGCAAAGTATCTACTACAGATAGGGATACCAGAGAATTTCTGACAAAAACAGAAATGGGGGGGGCAATTGCCACTTATTCCTCCCTCATCCAAATCAGAAATGAACCCAGTGCAAATAATAATAATAATAATAATAATAATAATAATAATAATTTTATTTATATCCCGCCCTCCCCAGCCAAAGCCGGGCTCAGAGCAGCTAACAACAGTAAAATGATAAAACATTCTAAAATCATTTCATTATAAAATTAATTCCAATCAAATTAATGGCAACCATTGGGCTAGAAGTTCTGTGAGGATTGCCAAAGGAGGGAGTCAGGCTGTGCTGGTGGAACAGCTCTATCTTGCAGGCCCTGCGGAAAGATGTCAAGTCCCACAGGGCCCTAGTCTCTTGTGACAGAGCGTTCCACCAGATCGGAACTACAGCCAAAAAAGCCCTGGCTCTGGTTGAGGCCAGCCTAACCTCTCTGTGGCCTGGGACCTTCAAGATGTTTTTGTCTGAAGACCGTAAGTTCCTCTGTGGGACATACCAGGAGAGGCGGTCCCATAGGTACGAGGGTCCTAGGCCGTATAGGGCTTTGAAGGTTAAAACCAGCACCTTAAACTCGATCCTATACTCCAGTGTGATCAGTGTTTGCTGTTGTTTCTGCTTTCAATCCACAAACAACACACAATTGATTACTTTTTGCCTCCACTTTCCCTCCTTTGCGCTGAAATGAATGGCATGGAATAACGTAATGACAATGCAATATTAATGACTTCACCACGGTAGGTAATGGGGCAGATAACTTAGTTTCTGGAAGAAGATGAACTGCAGTGGAACAGAAGCAGTTGTTGCAGGCAAGAAATACAGGGCAGGATGGAAAACGGCACCCTCTCACATCCCTCTCCATAGGTCAGAACGAAGCACCCATTTTGAAAGGTGCAAACATCCAAAAAGCAAAACTGTCATAGGACACCTCCACATTTGGCAGACATACATCCTGCCTTGGGTTTGACCCAACGATGTATGCAGTAATGCTTTGTGAGAGACACCATCTGCCTTGAAGATCTGAAACTTTACTGCTCCTCCATTCAATACTTCCAAGCGGAATATTATTAGTATTACAAGTACGATTTCCGCTGTCAGCTATAAAGGTCGCTTTCTTCTCTCTTTTCTAGCCTGCTCGAGGAATGATATGGAGAGCAGTTGTTTGAAAAGAAAGGTCCTGCTGCAAAAAAAGAGAGAGAAGTCTGCTGGGAGAAGGCTTTCAGATCTCTAATCATTCCAGTATGCTAATTCCAGGCATCAATGGTCACCCCAGTAGATGCTGATTGCCTCTTGAACATCGTCTCTATCAAAACATAATTAATCTGACCAGTGACTCTACACAGCTAATAGCTTAGAACCAATTCAAGATTTGTTTAGTTGATAAAAGCTCTAATCCTTTTGCAGAGCACGAAGGGCAAATATTCTGCAGTGGTTGCGCCACATATTCAAGCCCTAGCAGTCAGCGTTTCCCTGTTTTACCTTTTTCTACCTCCCCTGATGTGACAATGGATCCCCCCACCAATAAAAGATATTCATCCCTCAAGGAATGGGTCCCTTCTAAGGAAATGTTTCCCTCTTCCTCAAGGTGATGGACTCCTTCTGAGAGACCTTAATTGTCTCCAACAGCAGGGGAGGTGTCATTATGGGAGTGGGACACAGTTATAGTGTCCCCAAAAGCTTCATCCACCATTCTCTCTACCTTTCTTACCTTTTCTGGGTCTGCCACCTTGGCCTCAAGGGAATAAACTTGTTCCCAGAGAGCCAGGAGCTCACTGCACTTTAGGCATACCCAATGAGGAGACCGTCATACATATTGCAGATAATGCAAAACACTTCCAACCTTCGTGTTTCTTTGTTTTAATTTTTGAGAGTTTAGGATTTTGCTGGGCAGAGTGGGGTGCCCTGGCGGCTCTGCTGCTGAACTCACACATCTGCCTAACTCACCTTGACCCCTCGTCAGCTGGGGCTGAGACACTTCATCAGCCAGGACTCCCTCTAGTTGCATGGAGGCACCATTGGAGGAAACGTTGTCTGGAGCCTTCCAGTTTGGGTTCAGAAGGGAATTGGTCCCGGTCACCCTGGAAAATGACCTTGTAAGAGGCAGAGACTGCAACTCTGCAGCTGCTGTCAAATCTCCCTGCTACTGACCATGGTATCCTCCTGGACTACCTCTGTGCTGTTTTACAGTGGTTCCACTCTTACCCGCAATGACTGGCACTAGAGAATTGTATTGGGGGACTACATGAGACATCTTGGCAGCTTAGCTTTGGGGTACAGGAAGACCTGATTCTGTCCACAATGCTATTTGACCTCCATATGAAACTGTTGGAAACAGTCACCAGGAGATTTGGGGGCACAGTGTCATTGGCATGATGATGTCTTTTCCATTAAATCTGACTCAAGAGAGGCTGTGCGTAAGCTGAACCACTGGCTGGCTGCAGCGGTAAAATGAATGAGGGTCAATAAGCTGAAACCTAAATCCTCCTAAGACAGAGACAGTGTGGGTAAGTACGGTAGTTTCTAGGTCTGAGAATTGGGGAGTCTGTCTGTCCCAATCTGGTAACTCCACATGGGCTTCAGATGGGCTGAATACCATCACAGAGTGAAAAAAATGCCTGGCTTCTATTTCTGAACATGACACCATTCAAAGTACAACCCAGTCATGTCATAAATTCAGTGACACATCATTGTATTATAAAAATGATAAAAGGGCATCATTGTTAGTATAAGTGCACCCGGCGAAAATGTTTTACATGAATATAATAGAAGCCAGATTCATTGTTCTGGTGGGTGGATGGGATTCAAAAGGGCTGCTTGTGCATCAGGTATAATGGAAAATTCACATGCAGACTCATCAGCTATTTATATCCTTTGGCATTTATATATATGCTGCAGATGAGATATGCCTTTGTTTCTCAGGCAATTATCAGGTACAAATTAATTCTCCTCTTAACATCTCCATGTTGATATGGCTCCAGCACTTTTGCTGATTGTTTTAAGCCTTCTGCATGTGGCCAATTCTAAATTTAACCAAAAAGAAAATTGTTTGATTGCATAAGCAACTTTCCAAATTTAATCTTCCAATCACAACTCAAGATGTGTGGGTGCATGGAGGGTCTGATCTGTCTCGTAATTGGAGCTGGAGGAAAATGACTCCCCCCTCCCCATACGGATTTAGGGGAAACAGTTCATCTCTCGAGCCTAGTCAAAGCTGATCTGCCCCATTGCTACTACATTTAATGTTGCCTGTTCCTTGATAATTCCTTCACTTGAACTTCTTTCCCTTTGACTAACCTCTCAACCTAGGCTGAATTTCTTCAGCTTTGGTAGGCTGAAAACACGTGGCATTGTATTCTAGAATCAAGAGATACTCAGTGCTTGATGTTACTATGTAACCCCCACAATCTAGATCTATGGCTTATTCTTTGCCCTTCCTGGAAAAAAAAATGGTTTGATTCCAAAAATAAAAGCTCGTTTCAGATGGATTCCTCATTGTCCCATAATGTGTCCATTTGGAAACAGGTGAAAACAAATGTTTGTGGGGTGTATGTGTATCCATACCTGACAATGTTGTTGTGGGGAGGGGGGCTTAAAACAAGACTGCAAGAAGAAGAAGAAGAGTTTGGATTTGATATCCCGCTTTATCATTACCCTAAGGAGTCTCAAAGCAGCTAACATTCTCCTTTCCCTTCCTCCCCCACAACAAACACTCTATGAGGTGAGTGGGGCTGAGAGACTTCAGAGAAGTGTGGTTGGCCCAAGGTCACCCAGCAGCTGCATGTGAAGGAGCAGAGACGTGAACCCGGTTCCCCAGATTACGAGACTACCGCTCTTAACCACTACACCACACTGGCTCTCAATCACCACTGCAATCACCACATCCTTCTTTATTCACTTGGAGAATGCACAGGGAGGGAAATACATGGGTAACCTAACTGAGAGGAGGGTTTTCAAATGTGTATCAAGTCACCATCCCCTTCCTTGTGAAGGTCAGGATCTGTAAGCAATATAGATTGGAAGCAGCATGTTGAGGAAGAGCATGAAGGATTCCAGATTGAGGAAAAACTACATTTTTTATGCTACACATGGGTTAGTGTTTACATAGCCTAGGTCTGAAATGAGAAGCTTCCTGAGAACCACTGAGTGAAATTTACTATGACTTTTTTTGCAATAAAGATCCTAAAAATGGCACATAATACATCACAAATCATATTTCTAGAGTGATGGCATGAGAGGAAGCAGTAGAAGGATTCCAGTCTTATTGGCTCCTAACTTTCATTATCTAATTGAAAGCTTCTCACTGACCTTAATTCCAAGCTCTATGTTCTCTCCACCATAAACATCCATTCCTGGATCAAGAAGTCCAATTTCTCCAAAGAACTTCCGGTTCACCACAAAAGAACAGCCTATCATAGCTGGAGTCCTAGAAGAAAAAGTAGGAAAGAAACACAAAACTTCCCATTATTTTGGTGGAGGAATCCTAGAAAACACAAGTTCGTTTAATCTAAATCGTAGTTTTCAATTCATGATTGGTTGATTCACACACCTCATAGAATCAAAGAGTTGGAGGGAGGGATTGGAGGGCGTGGGACTAGATGACCCCTGGAGTCCCTCTCAACTCTATAATACTGTGATTGTATGAATTTAATTCAGCACTGTTATAATCAAATGCATTTTCCTTAATTTTCATCCAAGAAAACTGAAACACCAACACGGACAATTGTATTGGAGAGGCTGAGCTGACTCCTCCAGCCCCACTCCTAGTTTGTATTTTTTCCTTGTTCTAGGTGACAGCAAGATTTATTTTACGCTGCAGATTTCACTAATAAGACCGTGGAAATGACTGGAATCTCACAGAGATGGATGGCCAACTCAAGCTTGATTTTAAGACACACTGCAGTGCTTCGTGGCTTGCTATTTAAGAATCCAATTTCACCGACTTAAGTTGTAGCACGATAACGACCATAAGCTGAAACAATTAATTTTCAAAGTGATAATAACATTAGAGGTGCCAGACTCTTAACAGCTCCATTATTCGTGATTACGAGCAAGAATTAAGACAAAGGGGAAAGAGACTGGCTTCCAGTAGAGAACAAGTTAACAAAGACTTTGGAAGGGGCTTGGCTGTGGGGGAACAGAAAGCAGATGTAAGCTGGGCTTTCTGTCTGGGAGGAAGATGTATGGCTAAAAAGGGAGTTGTTAGGTGTGGTATAGTGATTAGAGTGTATAACCAGGACCTGGAATAATAATAAAAAAGAATAATAATAATAATAAGCTAGGGCCTGGAATAAAGGTAAAGGGGATCCCTGACCATTAGGTCCAGTCGTGGCTGACTCTGGGGTTGCGGCGCTCATCTTGCTTTACAGCTTCCGGGTCATGTGACCAGCATGACTAAGCCACTTCTGGCGAACCAGAGCAGCGCACGGAAACACCGTTTACCTTCCCGCCAGAGCGGTACCTATTTATCTGCTTGCACTTTTATGTGCTTTCGAACTGCTAGGTTGGCAGGAGCAGGGACCGAGCAACGGGAGCTCACCCCATCATGGGGATTCGAACCGCCAACCTTCTGATTGGCAAGCCCTAGGCTCTGTGGTTTAAGCCACAGTGCCACCTGCATCCCATAGGACCTGGAATACCAGGGTTCAAATTTCCACTCAGCCCTGAAGATCTCTGGTTGACCGTGAGCCAGTCATTGCCTCTCAGTCTAAGCTACCTCACAGGGTTATTATCGGGATTAAATGAGGAGGGGGGAAACCATGAATGCCACCTTGAACTCCTCAGAGAAAAATGTGTGATATAAATGCAATTAACAACAACAACAGCAACAACAAGTGCAAGCCGAACAAACTTGCTTCTTTATTATTGGTTAATCCATTACCATTTACATATATAGGCGGTATCTAAATAAGGGCTCACCCATACTTCTTTTTGTGCTGTCTTGCACCTGAGATTGAGGGGGGCTGGGATGCATCGTGCGTGTCACACACATGTGACATCACATGTTTGTGTGATGCCATATGCACAATGCACACATGACATCATCAGGAGGAGGCGGCCAGGCATAGTGGAGCCCACTGCGGCGCAGCTCCCTCTTTCATGCTCAGGAGGAGCCGGTCACTGAATTGCACCATGCTCGGCTCTGTGCTCTGTCTCCTCCTGCCCCCCATCCACATTGAGGGGGCCTGGCCCCCTGCCAGCAGATACTGAGGGAACCGAAAAAAACTCTGCCCCTACGAGTTGGTGCACCCGATGAGACCCATCTTCAAATATCTAAAGGACTATCACATGGAAGATAGAGCAAGCTTGTTTTCTCCTGCTCCGGAAGGTAGGACATGAACCAGTGGGTTAAAGTTGAAAGAAAGGTGATTCTGACTAAACGTCAGGAAAAACATTGTGATAGACAAAGAGCTGTTTGACAGCAGAGAGGACTCCCTTGGCAGGTGGTGAACTCTCCTTCATTGCAGGTTTTTAAGCAGAGGTGGGATGGCCATCTGTCATGTGGAGATGCCTGCATTGCAGAGTGTTGGGTTGATGACCTTTGGGATCCCTTCCAACCCTACAATTCTATGAAAGTATTTTACTGAACGAGATTTAGCCTCCCATTCTCTCAATGTTAATATGCACAGAAACACATGCCCTCTTCATAGCATCAGTGGTACCTCGGGTTAAGTACTTAATTGGTTCTGGAGGCCCGTTCTTAACCTGAAACTGTTCTTAACCTGAAGCACCACTTTAGCTAATGGGGCCTCCTGCTGCCGCTGCACCACCGGAGCACGATTTCTGTTCTCATCCTGAAGCAAAGTTCTTAACCTGAGGTATTATTAGCGGAGTCTGTAACCTGAAGCGTATGTAACCTGAGGTACCACTGTATTTTGTGTGTGTGTGTGTGTGTGGAGGTGAGGAATCCCCAATATTAAAAATCAGAACTGTTCTCTTGCTCAGACCATCTAGTATAGTCATCATGTGATCCAGGAAGAGCACAACGAGGTCTGAAGATCCTCCCCCATTGTAGGCACTCATGGTCAAAACCAGAAGAGACCCCACAGGATCAGACAAAAGACCTCCCTAGCCCAGCATTGCTAGTCACCAGCCACATGTTTTCCAGGAAGCCTGCCAGCAGGTCACAAACACAACACCCCCCTCTATCACAACACCACTATCAATGCCAACAATCTTCATGGCAGAGGAATCAGGGGTGCAGAACCAGCTTGGTGAAGGCAAGCGATGTTGGGGAGACCATCCTCCCCCACTCACATTCAATTTATTTCATTTCATCCACAAAGCAGTTTCCAGTTCAGAGGTATGAATGCCATCTGTCCTAGGACCTTTGTGCAATTGACTGGGCTGCTGTAATTTCTTCATTTCCACCTAGTAGGCTATTATATAGTAGACCAGTGCTTCTCAACCTGTGGGTCCCCAGATGTCATTGGACTACAACTCCCATCATCCCTGAGCTCTGGCCTTGCTAGCTAGCCATGATGGGAGTTGTAGTACAACAACATCTGGGGACCCACAGGTTGAGAAATTCTGTAGTAGACTATTATGGTTTACTTTTGCAAACATACTTTTTTGGGGAAACAAGCTTTCATTGCAGCTAGCCCAGAACCTCCTGCATCTACACATCTGAAATTTGGCAAGGTTAATCCCTTCTTTGGGGGCTACTATATCAGCAGGTTCTGAGCACATGTGTGAAACAAGCCACAGAGTTATGGTCCATTTGGTTCCCCAGTGCAAGTCAATGGGGAGACTGAAGGTTTGGTGTTCCAACTATTGCTGTGGATATTGGGTCTGTGGCAAGCGCCCCTTCCCCAAAATCTGAATTGAATAAGGCCAATCAGAAGTGCTGAAGCAGGCTCTGGAGCACAGCCTTGGTTAATACTGTCTCCCAATGTGCAAACACAGACCGGGTGCATAAATTCTCCTTGCTGTGCACCAATAACCTGGCTTAATTATCTGTTTCAAATGGACTTTTCTTCCTACTCTCACTAACAGCTTGGGTATCGGAGAAGCAAATTAAAAACACCAGAGAAGATCCCATAAAAGAGCTGTTAGATTAAGTGTATCTCCCATCCTTAATTCTGCAGGAGTTTAACAAGCCTTTACATATATATATATATATAAATGAAGCACGGGGCCTGCAAGCTTTTCATACCTGCTTTAAAATGATGTTGGTGTATTTATTAGTCCAAGAGGAGTCCAGAAATGGAACCCCTTCCAGTTTAGAAATTGGCTAAATGGTGCAGAGAGCTGATTGGCCAGAGAACAGGAGATTGACAGAAATATCTCCAGAAACCAGTCTCCATAAGTTTATATGGGAGGATGTGGGTGTCTGTGGACCAGGAAAGAGTGGGGCGTTGGGATTGTCACAGAATTGTAGAATTGTAAGGGGTCCCAAGGGTCATCTAAAAATGTTGGTTGTCACTTCACCAGGTGAGACAATTCTCCAGTAGCAGAGGCACCAGCTTCTCCAGAGGATTGGAGAGGCCTGAGTGCAACATCCTCTGAATATTGAGGGGACCTGGCCCCCTAAAGACATATATGCAGGGGGGCAAAACTGCCTTGGCCACTTAGAGAAAATGCCTACGTCCAGTAGACCTTTTTGGCCACCTTTCATAGACATCTGAAGGTAGTCCTGTACTGAGAAGTTTTATAGTGTCCAGTGTATTGTGTGTTCTTTTGTGTGTGGAAACCAGATTGGCTGGGGCAACCCAGTCTAATGGGTGGGATACAAGTTGTTGTTGCTGTTGTTCCACTGACTTAAAGCAGCCCTTGGTGGGACTCTTCCAATAGCGCTAGGCCTTGGGCACAAGAAACTAACCACAATTACCTTGAATTTCTGTTTAACCCTCAAGAAAAAGGGGCATTTTTGCTGGCCAGGTTTAATTCAAATCCATCAAACCTCCTTTGGGGAAGGTTCTCAGGCAGGGTGGAAGGAGAAAGAACTTGCCCATGTGAAGACCACCTGGTGGAAACCCTTACACATATGGTTCTTAATTGTAAACTATATGCTGATCTCCATCAGCAATTTCTAGATCAACTCTGTATCCCCAAATGGAAACCAGAGTTGGAGGTCATACATTTTCTATTACTGGGGAATGATCAGGAGCTCACCAAGTTAGTGGCTACATATCTCTATTTGGTTTTTTTGTTGTCGAAATACACTGCAGACGTCTGATCTCCCTGGAGGCCTAAAGATGTGACAATAGACTGCTCTGCCTCCTTTCTTTTAGCAAATGTTTTGTGCCACTGGGGAAGTGGTAATTCTGTATTGATTTGTTTTGGATGTTTGTATGTGATGCCAATGAAAGGTTTGATGATGATGATGATGATGAATAACACTAGGTACTGCTTGGTCTACTAAGCTGGAATGGAAGTTCTCCAGAAAGTAGCCAGGTGGATGAGTCTACTCACACGGCATTTCCT